AGGCAGAAAGAGAAGTAGGCTCCATGCAGGGAGCCTGATACAGGACTCGATCCTGTGTCTCCAGGATCATGCCGTGGGCTGAAGGCAGTGCTAAACTGGTGAGCCACCTGGGCTGCCCCCCCCCCTTAAGATTATTTATTTTTCATGAGAGACACAGGCAGAGAGAGAAGTAGGCTCTCTGCAGGGAGCCCGATGTGGGACTCGATCCCGGGACCCCAGGATCACACCCTGAGCCGAAGGCAGACACGCTCAACCACTGTGCTACCCAGGTGTCCCAAGATTTATCTATTTGAGGAAGAGCGTACATGTCCACCTGCATGGCAGTGGGGGGAGAGGATTAGGGGCTGAGGGAGATTGTCTTAGGCATACTCTGCGCTGAGCAGAGAGCCCAGCTCCAGGCTTGATCTCATAACCCTGAGATCATGGCCTGAGCTGAAACCAAGAGTCAAATACTTAGTCCATTGTGCTACTCAGGCGCCTATTCTTCTTTTAAAATATGCATAAACACATTGGTGTATGTAATTTGTTAGTAAGTATTATATATGATGGGGGTGCACGTCCCTAAAGTTTTTTAGTTCCATGGTTGCGCTGTGAAATACATTTGAGTATTGTTTTCCAGTTTGTTTTAGGTAAAGAACCCTTTCTTTAAGTGAAATCTTTCTCATTTGAAAAGTATAAATCAAAAGCAGGGCTGTTTTGGTTGGAGGCTCTTGAGGGGCCTTCTTGTGCACTTTGGAAATTGCTGGTTTATAGCCTGTCAGTATAGTTCAGATCTGATTAAAAGTCTGTGATCATTGGGGCGCCTGGCTGGCTCTATTCTCCCTGGATGTAGCTTGCTCAGAATTTGGTTTTTCTTGGCATTCCAAGTGCAGGCCTCGAGTTCTCTGGTCTGTGTAGTTAACACATGAAGCCTGTAGGCCTAGTGTGACTTTTTTTTTTTTAAAGATTTATTTATTTATTTATGATAGGCATAGAGAGAAAGAGAGGCAGAGATCAGGAGGAGGGAAGAGCAGGCTCCATGCCGGGATCCTGACGCGGGACTCGATCCCGGGACTCCAGGATCGCGCCCTGGGCCAAAGGCAGGCGCCAAACCGCTGAGCCACCCAGGGATACCCCCCCTAGTGTGACTTCTGAAGTGGCCCTGCAGTACCACCACTCTCTAGCACTGCTGATGAATTGTTTTTTTCATAGTTGCAAAGTAGCCCTCCTCCAGGCCTTGTTTCCTTGCTTAATGGTTTTAGCTAACTCTATTTCTCCTAAATGTAGGATGATCAAGATTTTTTTTTTTAATGATACTATGTATTTGTTTACGAGAGATTGCAGAGAGAGAGGCAGAGACATAGGCAGAGGGAGAAGCAGGCTCTTTGAGGGGAGCCCAGTGTGGGACTCAAACTCGGTACTCAAGGATCATGCCCTGAGCTGAAGGCAGATGCTCAACCGTTGAGCCACCCAGGCATACCAGTTTTTTTAGGGTTTTATTTAAATTGCCTGGTGCTTATTAAGTTGCACTCCTTAATCCCCATCCATTTCACCCATTCCCCCACCCACCTCCTGTCTGGAGTTTGTTCTCTATAGTTAAGAGTCTGTTTCTTGGTTTGTTTCTATTTCCCTTTGCTCCTTTTGTTGTTAAATTCCACATATGAGGGCAGCCCAGGTGGCTCAGTGGTTTAGCACCGCCTTCAGCCCAGGGCCTGATCCTGGAGACCCGGGATCGAATCCCACATCGGGCTCCCTGTGTGGAGCCTGCTTCTGTCTCTGCTTGTGTCTCTGCCTCTCTGTGTCTCCCATGAATAAATAAATAAAATCTTAAAAAAAAAATTCCACATATGAATGAAATCCTATGGTATTTGTCTTTCTCTGACTTATGTCCCTTAACATCATCCTCGAGCTCCATCCATGTTGTTGCAAATGGCAAGATTTCAGTCTTTTTTATGGCTGAATATTCTGTTATATATCTATATATACGCACACATACTGCATCTTTATCTTTTTATTTTTATTTATTTTTATTTTTTTTAATGATTTTATTTATTTATTCATGAGAGACACAGAGAGACAGAGAGGCAGAGACACAGGCAGAGGGAGAAGCAGGCTCCATGCAGGGAGCCCGATGTGGGACTCCATCCCGGGTCTCCAGAATCACGTCCTGGGCTGAAGGCGGCACTAAACCACTGAGCCACCCAGGAATCCCCGTCTTTATCTTTTTAACAGTAAATGGACACTTGGGCTGCTTCCATAATTTGGCTATTGTAAATAATGCTGCTGTAAACATTGGGGTGCATTATTCCTTTCAAGTAGTATTTTTGTGTTCTTTGGGTAAATACCCAGTAGTTAGTGTGATTACTGGGTTGTATGGCAGTTCTATTTTTAATTTTTTGAAGAACCTCCATACTCTTTTCCACAGGGGTTGTACCAGTTTGCATTCCCATCAGGAGTGCAAAAGGGTTCCTTTATTTTATTTTTTATTTTTTTAAGATTTTATTTATTTATTCATGATACTTAGAGAGAGAGAGAGAGGCAGAGACATAGGCAGAGGGAGAAGCAGGCTCCATGCAGGAAGCCCGACATGGGATTCGATCCCAGGTCTCCAGGATTGCGTCCTGGGCCAAAGGCAGGCGCCAAACCGCTGCGCCACCCAGGGATCCCCGGGTTCCTTTATTTTGATGTAGTCACAATAGTTTATTTTTGCTTTTGTTTCTTTTGCCTTGGGAGACATATCTAGAAAAAAGTTGCTATGGCCAATGTCAGAAATTACTGCCTGTGCAAATTTTTTTTAGAATTTTTATGGTTTCAGGTCTCACATTTACGTCTTTAATCCATTTTGAAGTTATTTTTGTGTGTGGTGTAAGAAAGTGGTCCAGCTTCATTCTTTTGCATGTAGCTGTCCAGTTTTCTGTACACGGCTTGTTGAAGAGACTGTTTCTTCCCCACAGCATATTCTTTCCTGCTTTTTTAAATGTAATTGACTATATACTTGTGGGTTTATTTCTGGGTTTTGCGTTCCATTGATCTGTGTGTCTTTGTGCCGTTAACATACTGTTTTGATCACTGCAGCTTTGTAACATAACTTGAAGTCTAGAATTGTGATGCTTCCAGCTTTGCTTTTCTTTTCAGTATTGCTTTGGGTGTTTGGGGATCTTTTGTGGTTCCATACAAATTTTAGGATTCTTTGTTCTATTTCTGTGAAAAATGCTGTTGCTGTTTTGATAGTAATTACATTAACTGTGTACATTGCTTTGAGTACTATAGACATTTTTAAAGTATTTATTCTTCCAATTCATAAGTGTGGAATGTCTTTCCATTTTTTTGTATTGTCTTCAGTTTTTTTCATCAGTGTTTCATAGTTTTCACAATGTAGGTCTTTCCCTCTTTGTTTAGGTTTATTCTTAGGTATCTTAGTATTTTTGGTATAATTGTAAAGGGGATTCTTTTTGTTGCTTCATTATTGGTGTATAGAAATGGAGCAGAGTTCTGGAGATTGATTTTTGTATCCTGAGACTTCACTGAATTCCTTTATCAGTTCTAGCAGTTTTTTGATGGAGTCTTTTCAGGTTTTATATATGGTGTCATGTCATCTGTAAATACAGTTTTACTTCTTCATTACCGATCTAGGTACATTTTATTTCTTGTCTGATTGCTGTGGCTAGGACTTCCAGTACTATTAAATAAAGTAGTGAGACTGGACATCCTTATCCTTGTCTTGTTCCTGACCGTAGAAGAAAAGCTCTCAATTTTTCTCCATTGAGGATGTTAGCTGTGGGTTTTTCATAAATGGCCTTTATTGTGTCGAGGTATGTTCCCTTTAAACCTAGTTTGTTGAGTTTTTTTTTTTTTTTAAAGATTTTATTTATTTATTCATGAGAGACAAAGAGACACAGGCAGAGGGAGAAGCAGGCTCCATGCAGGGAGCCCAACATGGGACTCTATTCTGGGTCTCCAGGATCATGCCCTGGGCTGAAGGCGGTGCTAAACCGCTGAGCCACCCAGGCTGCCCTGTTGAGAGTTTTTATCATGAATGGATGTTGTACTTTGTCAGATGCTTTCTCTGAGAGGAATGACCCAAATTTTAAATACAGTGACTGGAAAGAAACTCTTGTGGTATTACTGAGTCAGTCTTGTGCATCTTAAACCTAATTGTGCTTGCTCTGACATTATCTAAATGGAGCATTAGTCAAATCAACTTTGGCTTTTGTAGCTAGGTCAGAGTTTTTAAAATTTTTATTTATTTATTTTTGAAAAGATTTTATTTGTTTATCCATGAGAAACACAGAGGCAGAAACACAGGCAGAGGGAGAAAGAAGCAGGCTCTCTGCAGGTAGCCCGATGTGGGACTCGATCCCGGGACCCCAGGATCACTCCTTGAGCCAAAGACAGATGCTCAACCGCTGAGCCACTCAGGCGTTCCATTAGGTCACAGTTTTAAATACTCTGTCCTGTCTGATGAGGAAACTAGCTGACAAATAAATAGTATCAACTAGAGCTGAGGGCTTGGCAGCGCGTGAGGAGAAGCTGGCCTATTTGACTTTAGTGGGTCAGCTGTTCCTCACCCCTTCGGATGTCCTCTAGCATTTCAAGTCTGATGGCCCAGCTGCCTGGCTCTTTGTAACAGGTGTTCCTGCCCTTCTGGTCCACGAAAAGGGGTACCTGGTTTCTCTGGGGCTTTCTGAGATGCAATCTCATGACCCAGACCTTAAGGGAGGGGGCATGGCTCTCCTGTAGAGTACATTTATTTTTGGTAGATTTGTTTCAGGTTGCTTTTGAGAACAGGAGCTATACTTGTTAGGCACAAATTTTGCCCTAAAATGTTTACATAATCCTAGTTTAGATTAATTTGTGTGGTACTGTCATTTTGGTTTATCCAAAGGCAGTTGTATTCTGTGTTTGGTTTTATATTTCTCTGTAGGCCTGCCCTTTCTGTTGGTTTTCACTGTAAAACCAACCTCTGCTGTGTCCCTAAGTGGAGGCAAGACCAATTTGATTTCTTCTTGTGGTTTGCCTAGGTGGCAGATGAATACATGTTTTCCCTGGAGGAGAATAAGAAGTCCAAGGGCCGTCGTCAGCCCTTAAGCAAGCTCCCCCGCCATCACCCACTCGTGTTGCAGGATTGCGTCAGTGATGATGGTAAGTTTTGCTTTCCCTCTTGACCAGGAAGAGGAAAGTGTTTCACACCATTAGGACTTGCTCTGACAGGACATTGGGAGGCCCAGCTAAGTGCCAGGGGTGGGCCCATGCTTCACTGTTCTCCCAGATACTCCACAAAGAGAACAGGATCTCATTTGATACTTAATTTATAATCATATTTCTTTGTATGTCTATGTATCTTGGAATGTACCTAATACAGGATGATCGCATGCAGGTTCTTCTCTTTCTTTACTAGGAGGTACAGGCTGATTTTTCTGGATAGCAATTCTGTCAATGATGCCAAGCCCAATGCTGAATGTGTAGCTACAGAGATAACTAAGATATGTCCGTGCCCTCAAAAAGCTCACAAGGTAGTGGGGCAAACTGACAGGTAAACAGATCTAAAGAGAGGAGATGTTAATCTACAGCAGAAGGGAGAGCATGAAGATCGATTCAGAGGATGCTGCTCAGTTAAAGGGCCAGGCCAGGGTGTGATGGGCGGGCCAGAGTGAGGTGGGGGGAGGCTGAGAGGGAGGCCTTACTATAGTGGGCCTTCAGGAGCCTTCGATGGGTTTTTGTTTTTTTCCTTTGACGGGTTTTAAGTGGCCAGATGTACATAAGAAGGAATGCTCCTAGGCAGCTCGGGTGGCTTAGTGGTTTAGTGCCGCCTTCAGCCCAGGGCGTGATCCTGGGGACCCTGGGATCAAGTCCCGCGTTGGGCTCCCTGCATGGGGCCTGTTTCTCCCTCTGCCTGTGTCTCTGCCTCTCTCTGTGTGTCTCTCATGAGTAAATAGATAAAATCTTAAAAAAAAAAAAAAAAAAAAAAAAAAAGAAAAAGAAAAGAAGGATTGCTCCTAGCGACTGCATCTAGAGAATGGGTTTGAGGGCAACAGATGGGCTTTTGCCTTGGTCTCTGCGAGACCCTCTGCGAGCGGAGGGTCTGAAGCAGGATGATGGTGGTAAGGATGGGGGAGGGATACAGTGATGGGTGTTGGGAGCCTAAAGTCAGCTGGATTTGGAGGTTGGGTGTAGAGCTTGAGTGTGGGGCATGTAGAAGCCTGAGTTCAGTGCCTCCCTGCGTTGTAGCTTTGGTTGGGATTAGAAACCTAAGTTCAGCGTCTGGAGAATGTAGATTTGGGGCTCAGCAGAGGTAGTGTTTGATACCTTTTGAAAAAATTTAACCAAAATGGGGCACCTGGGTGGCTCAGTTAAGTGTCAGACTATTGATTTCAGCTCAGGTCATGATCCTCAGGGTCCAGGTCGTGGTCCTCCGGATCGTGGGCTTTGGGCTCAGCGGGGAGTCTGCTTGAGAGTCTCTCCCTCTGCTCCCCCCCACCCCCACGTGCTCTCTCAAATAAATAAATAACTTTAAAAATTTTCTTAAACTTTTTTTTTTTAAGCGGAAGTGTAGTTGACACACTATTACGTCACTTCCAGGTATACAGCATAGTGATTGGACAGCTCTGGTATTCTGTGCTCACCACGAGTGTAGCTACCATCGGTTTGATAACCTTTACTTAGAGTACACGAGGCCACTTGGGAGAGGGCAGAGGCTGGGGGTGGAAAGACAGGAAAAGGAGCCGGTGAAGGAGACAGAAGGGAAATAGGCAGAGATTGGAGCAGAAATGGGAACTGTGTCTATCGCTGGAGCTCAGAGTTGTTGGCCTCCGCGCAGTGTGGTCTCCTGTGCTGCCTGGAGCTCGAGTTCCAGGAACATGAGTGTGGCCAAGTCTCTGGCAGTGAGCAGGTCCTTTGTTACTCTTGACTGATGCCAGGTCCTTTCCTGCCCTGCCCTTCCTGGCACCAGTGACTGGGTGAGAAGGCCCAGACTCTCACCAGCCTCTCTGCTCCTGAAGCAAGCCCCATGTTCCCTTTCTCTTCTGATCCCTATCTCTGCTGTTTTCCTTGGTAGTAGGATTGTGATAAGCGAGTGGGGAAAGTCTTGAGATCCTCTAGTCAAAAGTAGGCCAGAGCCTGTGTCAGTCTTAAGAAGTCTCTCTGCTCTTCCCCTGGCCCAGATGGAGCTTGGATTCTCTGGGTAGCAGCAGCCTAGCTTCAGGATCCCCTGACCCCCAACCCCCTGGTGCTCTAAAGGCTCCAAATAGAGGTTGTAGGAAATTGGAACAGGAAACATTTATAGGGAGGACAACAGAATTACCCTGCAAAGGTGACCACTTGCATGTCTTAATGTGTTAATCTTCCTGATTTTCCTAGCCAGATACTAGATTATATCCACGTATGTCTTTTTATAATGATGCCGTTGAGATAATAATATATGACCTCACAGCTATTCATGATCAATTTCAAATGTGGAAATGTTGAAGGGATAGAAGCCCTGTGCATGCCTCCTGTTGTCAGCAGCCGCTGCCGTGTTGCCGTGGGCGCTCGCTCTGCTTGTGTTATTGGGGTACATGCTGCATATACTTGCTACCACATGAGAGTGGGTTGTCCTCATCAGGTCACTTGAAGTGCACCGAGAGGCACTTCCTCAAGACTCATATAAATGCTGTTGCCACACCTAGGAAAATAGGCAGTGTTTCATGATGTTCTCCCATCTTCAGTCCATGTTATTTTTCCCTGCTTATCCCAAAAGTGTGTTTCATAGCTTTTTCCCTTTAAACCAGTATAAACCAAACCGGGGTCACTCATTTCGAAGTCTTGTTTCTTTAGTCTCCTAGTCTAGCATGCGCCCCCCCTTACCAAATTTTTTTAAATTGAGGAATAAAATACCCAATGAAATACATCTTTCTTGTGCATCTCAGTGATGGTTTGTACATGTAAATTGTAAATTTCCTGCAATTTTCACTTAACATAGTGAACATTTTTCCTTCTCATTACAGTGGTTATAAGTGGAGTGACTTTTTTTTTTTTTAAGATTTTATTTATTCATGAGTGACACAGAGAGGGAGGCAGAGACACAGGCAGAGGGAGAAGCAGGCTCCAAGTGGGGAGCCCGACATGGGACTCGATCCTGGGTCGCCAGGATCACACCCTGGGCAGAAGGCAGGCGCTAAACAGCTGGGCCACCAGGGCTGCCTGTTTTTTTGTTTTGTTTTGTTTTGTTTTGTTTTACCACCTATGGTTTGGTAAACAGAGCAGATATCCCTGTGTTAATTTTTCTCTTGTGATTTGAGAGGCTGTATGTTTCTGTTTCTTGTATTCAATCTTGGTCACTCTTGTTTTTCCCAGGATAAGGAAAATACTTGCTTTGGTTTTGGCACCATGGTTCCTGGTCGGCCTGGTTGATAGGGCTTGTATAGGTTGATTTTAATTGTCTGCAGTGGGGATCCCTGGGTGGCTCAGCGGTTTGGTGCCTGCCTTTGGCCCAGGGCGCGATCCTGGAGTCCCGGGATCGAGTCCCGAGTCAGGCTCCTGGCATGGAGCCTGCTTCTCCCTCTGCCTGTGTCTCTGCCTCTCTCTCTATGTCTATCATGAATGAATGAATGAATTAATAAATAAATAAATAAATCTTTAAAAAAAATAATTGTCTGCAATTACCTCACTGCGTTAATGGTACACTTGACTGAGGTCACACACATGGCAGCTGCCAGGGGTCATTTAACATGACTGAAGGCAGAGTAGGTAACTATTCGCACTGAGCTGGAGTTGCTAGAAATGAACAAATAAATAGGCACCTAGTGCAAGTACATACCAGCGCTTTCCTTGGGCTGCTCTGCTTAGATCTGTAGGGCCTCTTCATAGTGGTTTTGTCTGGGAAGTGAGATCCTAGCTGGGATTCCTGATGCCTCTACATAGCTAGATATGGTGACTCCAATGAGGGCTTCACGTGGTGTCACTGGCATGGAGCCAATCTCCTGTAATATGTGTCATACTTGGACCTTTTTTTGGACTCACTCGCCAAAGAAGGACATCCCAAATGTGACCTCTCATATTTCTCTCACTTGGGGGAGCATCTGGAGAAACACTATTTTATTTATTTTGATGTTTGTTGCTCCTTTTACCAAAGATTGCTTCCGTTGACCCATAATACTAGAGTTGTGGTGTTTTCCTCCCTCCTTCATGGTTTATGTTGGAATCCAGTGGGCTAAGTCCATCTCACTGATTTACCGGGAACTGGAAGGGGTATACCTGTGTCACATCCATCTTGTTTTTTGAGCCCAGTTTTTTTGTTTTCCATTCAGCAGTGTGTCCCTTTCTTTTGGGAAGATGGCACCTGGAGGGGATTTTCCTTCCTCAGGCAGTGCTGGGGCCCAATGAATCCTACGCTCTGCTGTCCTAGAGTAATGAAGAGACACAAATTTGTCATCTAGACCAGAGGTCTGTGAAGGACCAGGTAGTAAATATTTCAGACTTCATAGGCTTCACATATTCTTCTTTCTTTCTTCCCTTTAATCCTTTAAAAATGTAAAAACAGTTCTTAGCCCCCCCAAGTGGATTGCATTTGTCTTGTGGGCCATCATTGTGTGTTAGGCCTTGGCCTAGACTTAAGGTGTGGGAAAGAGGGTTCATCTTGGTCACGCTCTACCTTCCTCTGAGCAGAGCCAGGACAGTTGGGGATCCCTGTCCAGAAAAGGCAGCTGTCCCACCAACCTTTGCAGAGGGAACTAGAAAGTTCTGACTAACGCACATGACATAAAAACCTTGCCATTTCCTTGTTTTGTTTTTTTTTTTTCCTTGTTTTGTTTTTTTTTCCTTGTTTCCCTTCAGTGCAACTGTAGAGAAAACTCTTAAAAGGTAGGGACTCAACATGCTAACGTACCAGAGACAACAAGTAACGTGGTTTCTGGCAAGATTGTCTTACTTGGGCACAGGCTTTGAACGCTGGCAGCTGTTAGGGGAGAGGAGCAGGCTGGACTCTGTGGGTAAGAAGAGAAGGGGCTACAGGCAGGACCATCTGCAGTATCATACAAGTATTGAAGGAGCCTGTTGAAAATTGCTTCTGCCCTTTGCCTTTATCACCTGTAGGGTCTTAAGTTTAGGCCAGCCTGGAACCAGGCTGAGCTCATCTGCTCTCTAGGCAGAGTTACACATGTACGGGACTGGTGCTGACTTGTGCTCTGCTCTGTGCTCCAGAGTCGTCTGAACAGCTGACCCCTGAGGAGGAGGCTGAGGAGACAGAGGCCTGGGCCAAGCCCCTGAGCCAACTATGGCAGAACCGACCCCCGAACTTTGAGGCTGAAAAGGAATTCAATGAGACCATGGCCCAGCAGGCCCCTCACTGCGCTGTCTGTATGATCTTTCAGACTTACCATCAGGTAAGCCCACTTCATCCTCTCCTTTTACCCAGAGCCAGCAGTCCGGAGGGAAGCGAGGTTTAATTGTGGGTACAGAGCTTGTCACTGGTTGTCTTGGGAAAGACATGTTCTTCTAGTGTTCACTGCCCCATCCATGTACTGTAGTCAGGTTTCTCCAGACAGATAATCCAGCAATGTGAGTTTTTACCTGAGAATGGTTTGCAGAACAACTGGGGTGTGGCTTAGCCTTGGGGGGATTCCCTGCACCCTGTGGCATTTACACCATTTGCAGAGAAATCTGTTGTTATCCTTCTAGTCAGAAACTGTTCCTTCCAGGTGTTTTTTTTTTGTCCTGGCCAGTCTGGAGCACTGTGCATTTCTTTAGTCTGCCAGAGCCTCCAGTACGGTCTTTCCTTTCTCTTTGCTACAGTGGGTGTTGGCAAAACTAGGGTGGGGAGGTAGGAGTAGAAGGTGTGTAGGAGGGGGAGGCACTGGGGCTGAGTTCATCTGTGCCCCTTGGGTTCCTGGGGCATTGATGGCCATCCTTGGGTTGGCCATCCACACTAGCATGTGCCAGGTGAGGAGCTTGGTCTCAGCTGGGACCTGCACAGGGTGACCTGGCATGGCTGCACTGAGCCTGGCATGGCCCCAGATTCAGGCTTGCCAAAGAATGGAACTGTGAGACCATGCATACTTTGGATTAGTAGCTCACTGCTTCTTTCCATTGACCGAAAAAAAGCAGAACTGAAGAATTGTATGTGCCCTTGCCTGCGAGACAAGTACAACCATGGCCTGGTTGTACTGTTAGCAGAGCTACCAAGTGGGTCTCTGTTTTCATGAGGGGCATGTACTTAGGGTTGACATATTTGAGGCCCTGTCCTTGAAATGCTGGTAGTGCCAGCAGATATTTGCAGTTAGGGTATTTGTCAAGGGAAGTACATGGACCTACCTTTCTTTCTGAAGGGACCCCTAGCCAGGAATCACAGGTGGGGCTCCAGCCATGTGGCAGTGCTTGCAGCTCAGGTGACTCACTGCTGTTGGCCCCTGGGGAAATCACGCTAGTCAGTTAGGAGCACCAGCTCTGGGTCCTCTCCCTGGGCAGGGGCCACCATGCAGTGCCGCATATAGGGGAGCCCACGAGAACAACCTTGCTAACATCTCAGCGCGTTTTATTACCACTTGGTTTGGAAAGATTGAAATCCCAGTTGCCTCTTACCTCGCTCCGTTTCCTCAGTTGTCCCCAGGGGCCTTTGTTTGATGCCGTTGTGGGAAATTGAATTTGAGTCATTAGAGGTAACTTCAATTAGCAGCTCTGGGATAATAGCTGCCACCCAGGAACTGTAGCCAGAGTCCTACCAGTAAGAGAGGCAGCTTTCTGCTGACAGAGCAGGTGGGAAGCTGGGAATACAGGCACATGCTCACTGAGGGCTGCCCCTGCTTGCTCTCCTTAGGTTGAGTTTGGAGGCCTTAGTCAGAGCTGTGGAAACACTTCAGCTCTGGCCCCCCAGAAGCAGAGGACCAAGCCATTGATTCCAGAAATGTGTTTCACCTCCACTGGCTGCAGCACAGACATCAACCTTTCTACCCCTTACCTTGAGGAGGACGGCACTAGTCTTCTAGTTTCCTGCAAGAAGTGCAGTGTCCGCGTCCATGCCAGTGAGTGGTTCACCTTTGCTCTACGGCCTGACCCAGGGGTCTGCTCACTGTGGTCTCACCCCATGTTGGCCTCACCCCAGCTTTCCAGGGGCCTTCCCAGGCCCTCAAGTGCAAAGATTGCTTTTGTGTTGTTGGGGAGTTCGCTGCTGATAATTGGAGTTCCATTGATTTTGGGGTTTTTGCTTGTGTAGTCAACCTTGTACTCTTCTCTGGGCTGCACATAATGGGGGGGGGGGGAGGGATTAGTTCCCTGCGTGCTTGTACCAGGGAATCTATAGTCTTTGACTTTTGAGACCTTGGGCCATACCGTGTGGGTGAATCCTGGGGCCCCTGACTCTAGAATTCAGAGGTTTTTCTGTAAGATTTGGTTACAGCTTTCAGACTGGTGGTATATGGAAAAGAGTTGCAAGTATATATACTTACTCTGGTCTCTGGGTTTAATTTACTCATCTTGGTGTCCTTGTTAGGTTGCTATGGGGTTCCCCCGGCAAAGGCTTCTGAAGACTGGATGTGTTCTCGATGTTCAGCCAATGCCCTGGAGGAGGTGAGTGTGTCCACAGTGTTGCTGTCTTGCCTGTGAGACTTGGGGTTTGCTCAGGGCCAGGTTTTTTTTGTATGGACTTACTTTCTTCTACTTTTTTGTATGGACTTACTTTCTTCTTCTTCTTTTTTTTTTTTTTTTAGATTTTACTTATTTTATTAGAGATCACAAATGGAGGGAGGGCCAGAGGGACAGGAAGACAAGCAGACTCCCCACTGTGCAGGGAGTCCGACATGGGGCTTGATCCCAGAACCCCGAGATCATGACCTGAGCTGAAGGCCTATGCTTAACTGAGCCACCCAGGTGCCCCTCATGTGGGCTTTCTGTCTCCAGCAGTCTGCACAGGGCCTGGTTCACAGTGATGTCAGAGTGGGTATTGTCAGAATAAATCCCCATAGCCTGGTTGCTGCTCAGCTATGGCAGGACATGTATCGAGTCAGAAAGTTGTATTTGCTACATTGTATCTGGACCAAGTAGGTCCCCCTGTGAACCAGCTATAACCCCCTTTAAAGAACTTAGCTATTGGGTTGGGCCATCAGAATGGGGCTCAGATGCTTCATTTAGTAGCTCTCTCTTCTTCATCCCCTGCCCCGGAACCTTGGCAGCACCCCACGTAGGAGGTGGGCAGAGACCTGTAATGCCTTCAGTTTGGGCAGAGCGTTCTTGGTGACCGCTTACAGTTGTTACTATTAACAATGAAGAGGATTATGTTAAGTCAGGCAAATACTTGGTATACTTTAGCTCTGGGTGGTCTCCTTGTCTTCCTGTGGGGGAGTCCTGCTTATGTGGACTGTGTAGGCGAGGCCCCACATGCCATTAAGCCACTTTCGTATGTGGAGGCTGCAGTTACCCAAAGGAGGCCAAGGAGAGAGCAGATTGGATGTTAATGACTTGGGGTAACTGCCCTTCCTCCCCATCCCTTCTTGGCAGGATTGCTGTTTGTGCTCACTACGAGGGGGAGCCCTACAGAGAGCCAATGATGACAGGTGAGTTTCTGAGCAGTGGCTCCGCCGCTCAGCTCTGGAGCAGCGTTGCAGAGGCTCTGAGAGGGCAGTGGCCGTTCATCAAAATGACTGATGGAGGGTTTGGGAAGCACATTGTTGGAGCTGGAATAGCATCTCCAAGACTAATTTTGAAAATGGGTTGCCAAGGGGAGCCAAGCAGCTCTAGACCTTTCCAATCTAGCTTCTCCTCCAAGGCAGAGATATAAGTGATGTCTTCCTTTTGGAGGAGCTAAGACAGGCGCATGAGGGTGTGGAGATCCTGCACAGACCATGTAGAGGCCCCATGGGCCAGAAGTGAGACAGTTACCTTATTGTAGCTGGGGCTGGTGCAGAGGTGGCCATGGGCATGGGCTTGTGAGCCCTTGTCCATAGGCGCACTCTGCCTGGCTTAGGTCTGCTGTTGGAAGGAGGGTGAATGTCCTTGGGAAGCAGAGTGGGACATGGAGGAGAGCTCAGCCTCGCCCACCTGCTGTGGAGTCAGACCTACAGAAGTCTGGGCATCCTAGCCAGCAGGCAGTTTTTCTTACTGAGCTGACCCTTTGCGCCTGGTCTTAGCTTACTTGGTCTGAGGTAGAAGTGTGAGGCGGATGAAGTTTTTGCTCTGGAAAAGCTGGCTGTCGAGGGGCTGTAGTGCACACAGATTGGTGGGCAGTCGGTGGTGAATATCCTGCTTCCAGCTAATGTCCTGTGGGAATTGGAGCCTGTCTGCAGTACAGGAACCTCCCCAATCCTTTGTGCTGTTCCACATAGACGGCTCTTCTACTTGCTGCTTCTAGGCCTTTATTTTTTTTCTTTTAAATATTCTATTTATTCATGAGAGACACAGCCACACACACAGAGACAGAGGCAGAGACATAGGCAGAGGGAGAAGCAGGCTCCACACAGGGAACCTGACATGGGACTTGATTCCGGGTCTCCAGGATCACGCCCTGGGCTGAAGGTGGTGCTCAACCGCTGAGCCACTCTGGGCTGCCCGCTTCCAGGCCTTCAAAGGCACTTGCTGCCATTATTTGAGGTTATCGTGTTCCTCATAGTCGTGGGAGAGCGCTGTTAAAAGTTCTTTCTTACTTGGAGCAGAAGTGGCTCTCCTTGAGCCTCCCATCTTAATCCTATTTCCCTAGTTCTGCTCCTGTGGGGTCATGCCAAACAAGTCTGTTCCCACAGTTGCAGATGAGCCCCACCAATACTATACAGACAACTTCTGTGTAGGCCCCACATTGTCTGTGATAGCTTTTATCTGGCCTGATGTTAAGAGTCTCATCATGTTCCTATCAATTTCTCAAAATGCCCAGAACTGTAATTTTCTCAAAATGTCCATTGAACAGACCCGTCAGAGTAGGTGGGGCCTGTGCCAGACCTTAACGAGTGAGCTTGCTATGGATTCAGGGATCAGAAGGAGAGGTCATTTCAGCCCAGAGGAAAGGTTTGGGTGAAGGCCTAGAGGGGAGCTGTGGCTAATGGCAGACAGGGGACAGATGGAGACATTTTGAGGAAGCACCCAGCTTCTGTGGTAAAAGAGGTCTATATAGAGCTCTCTGATTTATTCTCACTTCCTGAAATCTACCCCTTTCAATCAGCTGTGTTTCTGCTCATTTTGCAAGAGATTTTATATGAGTTTGTGGTGTAAGAAGCGCAACCCTGTGCTAATGCAGGGCCGTATAGTAGGGACCCATTTCTGTACTCAGTGTGAACACTCCTGGTTCTTACCTTGCCAAGTCCCTGGACCTTGCAGGTGGAAGGAAGAGGCCATGTTTGGCTAGGGAGGGAGCACTGTGTGCAGGCCCCACCCCCCGCCCCCCTGAATTGATAGATTTGATGAAAAGGCAACAGGGCCTTACAGCCAGAGGTGACTGAGGTAGCCTTTGCCTTTTGGCAGGTGGGTCCACGTCTCATGTGCTGTGGCAATTTTGGAAGCAAGGTTTGTCAACATTGCCGAAAGAAGTCCAGTGGATGTGAGCAAAATTCCCTTGCCCCGCTTCAAACTGGTAAGGAAGAGGAAATGCGCTTGGGGACTCTCTATGTCATTGCCCCATTTACATGTCTCTGGGTGGAGGAGAACATAACGTTTTTGAGGCCCAGTGGTCATCTTTTACCCTTGGTTTTAGTCAAGGTTTGTGAGGCACCATATGGTTAAAACTACTTACTGAGGACACATGTATTCAGATAGGAGGTTGAAAGAGGTGTATGTACCCTTTTGTTTTGGGAAGAAGGTTGCTGGTTTGGCTGTGTGCATTTAGGCAGGGGAACAGTGGAGGAGACTGCAGTGGTAGCTGCTGGAATCACTGGCTTGCTTCCCTTGTGTTGTAGAAATGCGTCTTCTGCAAGAAGCGGAGGAAAAGAACCGCTGGCTGCTGTGTGCAATGTTCTCATGGCCGTTGCCCAACTGCCTTCCATGTGAGCTGTGCCCAGGCTGCTGGGGTGATGATGCAGCCCGATGACTGGCCTTTTGTTGTCTTCATTACCTGCTTTCGACACAAGATCCCTAATCTGGAGGTGAGGGAGGATGCCATTCTAGAATCCTCTTGACAGTTTCTAGGGTCATTTTCTCTGCAGGCTATCCATTTATTGTGTCAGCAAGTATTCTCTCCAGAGTCCTGCTTTATGGAGAGTGCCAATGTGGAAGGGATGAAGAGGTGGCCCTCATCCATCTCTGCTCCCTGCCTTGTACCTCCTAATCAGCATCAAACTGCTTGTGGTCGATTCTTTGTGATTATCTGTTTACTTGTTTGCCACCCCTCCCTGAGGGGTCCCTAGCTTATTAACATGAGTGTCCCTCTTCCCTAACACGGTGTCTAGGATGTAGCAGGAGCTCTGCAGATCGTGTCAGCTGGTAGAGAGTGCTCGGAAGAGTTAACTGTTAACCACCATACAGTAGACTTTTGTGCTTCTCTAAATAGTGAAGCTTGGAGAAAATTACATGTCATCTTAGGTAGACAAGTTATGAAAGGGTTTGGGTAGAAGGTGGCAGTTGAATTGGGACTTAAACAATAAGTAGCAATTGTGAGAGGGAGGGCATTCAGGGCTTCAGAAGCAGAACGAGCAAGGCTCAGGAGAAGGCGCATATGAGGCTGGTTCTGGGAATATGGCAGGTACTGAAAGACGAGCGGCACCAGGCGGTTAAGGCCCTGGACTGCCCCATTTAGGAATTTGATCTCTCTTCCACTAGATGAGAACTTTTCAAAAATTGATTTTGAGCCATATTTCTTAACAGTTACTCTAGTGGTGGATTCAAAGGCTTTAAGTTGAAATTTAAGGCAGGGGGACTAGTTAGTTTGGGATTAAAGTGAGGTCTGAAGTGAGAACATACAGGGAGGTAGAGCTTTGGGGGTCACATCTAACCATGGGCTCCTACGATGGGTAGAATTGACAGGGATTGTTGACTGCCTTAGAGATTAACATGGGGAAGGTATAAGGGAGTGTCTATTTAAGACGGCTCATGTTCTTCCCCTGAAAGATGGAAGGGATGCAAATTCGATGATGCTATTAACTGGTTGGAACTGATTCAGAGTAGGGCTGGTTCCCAGGTGGGGAGGGGGAGAAGTGAAGAGGATAGGACATTTGACATTGAGGTGATTGCTGGAGCATTCTGATGGAGCTTCTAAAGGAGGCTGCTTTAACTATGAGGGTGAAGATTTGGATCTTAGCAGTCTTTAACAGGGTAGTTCAATCCAGTTGCCATTAGAAACTGGAATCTGGAGATTCCTAATATAAGGAGCAGATGGCAGTTCAGAAGCCAGCAAAAGTAGCTGAAAAAGTACAGATGGAAGCCACTGGAGGGGGATCAGGAGGTTGTGTGCTCTGGGGCCGGCAGGTCTGGCATAGTGCTCATTGGTGCCCCACGCTGAGGAGTTGCCATGGGGTCTTCTGGTCAGAAGCCAGACTCTAGTTGGGGGAGTTAGAGTCAAATAGGAGAGATGCTTATAAAGATGATGAATACGGTAGTGAACACAATAGAGGGCTCCTCTAGAGGAGCACACCTGTCATTACCATTTGAGATTGTGGCATGGGTCTTGTTGGCTGACTGGATTCTTCTTTTTCATAAAGATCTTTGACTAAGCATGACAGGTGGGCAGGTGGGTTAGGAGCTCAGGAAGAGGGGAAAGTCTTTGTGAGACAGAGACTGGAGGGGTGGTGCGTGAGGTGTAGGGCTGAGCCCCAAGGATCAGGGAAGCAGGAGTTTGCTTATGGAGCCAGGCCAGTACTACGGGGATTGTCCTCAGCACTCCAGACCCCTTTTTTTTTTTTTTTAAAGATTTTATTTATCTGTTTATTCATGAGAGATGCAGAGACACAGGCAGAAGGAGAAGCAGGCTCCTCGCAGGGAGCCCGACACGGGACCCAATCCCAGGACCTGATCCTGGGACTCTAGGATCACGCCCTGGGCCAAAGGCAGGTGCTAAACCACTGAGCCACCCAGGCATCCCTAGCACTCCAGATCCTTAAATTGGCAGCTGTAGCCTGCTGACCCTGTGAGAACATGGGGTACTGTTGAGTATTTCTTTCATAATCTCTTCAAATACTTACTAAGCACCTATTACATCTTAGGCTCAGGTTTAGGCATTGGGAGTATACCAGTGACCCAGACCCAACCGTGCCTGTCCTCTTGCTCCATGCAGTTGGAAAACCCATTGAAACGTGTAAATGTACGGTATGTCAGATGGCCAGAGGGGTGGTGGATGAAAATGTAGCAGGATAAGGGGAATGGAAGAGGAATATTAAGGAAGTGTCAATAGGTTGACATTTGGATGTGAGGGGGCCAGTGTGCTGATGACTGAGGAATAGCATTTCAGGTAGAGGGAACAGCAGGGCAAAGACTCTGAGGTGGGGAATGTGTTTGGCACACATGTTCAGGGACAGTAAGGGGGCCAGCATGATGGAGCACAGTGCTTGGGGGAACTTGGGGAGGAGTGGTTGGATCTAGTGCCACCAGATGCTCTGTGATCCATTTGCATCAGGGGTAAATTCAGGATGAGAGGGTGGTGTGAGTGTCTCAGAGATTATAGGGCCCTTAGAATGGGAGCTCCTGGTCACATGCGGCTAATGACATCCAGGGATCTTCAGTCTTTGTGCTTTAGCCCTTAGTGTAGAGCTAGTGCTGAGATTAGCATGGTGCATTGTTTGGGGCCCTGGGCTCAGAGCCCCCACTGAGTGTCTTCCTTGATGTGTATCTAAGCTGTATGCATTCATAGGTGCTATTTGGTCAGTTCCTGGCAACAATAAGGAAGTCACAAGAGTCTATTCTGGGAGATAGTATGGTAGAAGGATCCATTGTGGACTGGGAACTAGGGAGGTGCTACATTTATGGAGGGAAACATGCTGCTGGTTTCTTGTAGCCTCCCTGCTGGGATTTGAATACCTGGAAGGATCTGGTTCAGCTCCCACCCCCTAGTCTTTCTTGATTTTCCATTTCCATCATCTTTCCCTGGGAAAGGAAAACCAGTTGGTCTTGGTCCACATTTTTCAGGCCTGTCAAATCATGTGGGAGTAACCCAAGCCTCTATTTTTTTCCAGCGTGCCAAGGGGGCCTTGCAGAGCATCACTGCAGGCCAGAAGGTCATTAGCAAGCACAAGAACGGGCGCTTCTACCAGTGTGAGGTGGTCAGGCTCACCACTGAGACCTTCTATGAAGTCAACTTTGATGATGGTTCCTTCAGTGACAATCTCTATCCTGAGGACATAGTGGTAATGTCTGCAAGGAGCTTCTTGAGCAGTTTGGGATGGGGGTGTTTCTGGGGCTGGCTGGCAGACTGTGGGCCTGCCTGCCATTTCTAGCTGGGCCCACAGTCCCATCAGTCTTTCCCTGAACATAAGAAGCATTTTGTACTGGTGTTTCTTTGTGAAGAAAACTGCATGCTGCTAGGCTACCCTGCTTCCCCTAGATGCTCACAGGAATCCGTGTTTTCTTTTCTTTTTCCTTGATTTTATTTATTTATTCATGAGAGACACACAGAGAGAGACAAACATAGGCAGAAGGAGAAGCAGGCTCCCTGTGGGGCGCCTGATGCAGGACTCGATTCCAGGGCCCCAGGATCACGACCTGAGCGAAAGGCAGGTGCTCAACCACTGAGCCATCCAGGTGCCCGGAATCTGGATTTTCTGCAGTATTTTGAAGCCAGCTTCTATTTCAGTCAAACTACCCATGAAAGGTGTTCTAGTGCAGTAGAATCCTACCAATGTGCCAACACCAGCTCCTTTGCTTAGTAGCTGTGTGATTTTGGAAGAATTATCCACCTTCTTTTCCTGTCATGCCCTCTTAGTGGATGTATGGAATTTGCTTTTGGTTCTTTACAGGTGAAGGCTTTGGGGCTGAGTAGAAACTGCTTGGAGACATCCCTGGCCTGCTTATGTTATTGACACCTGACTCACTGGAAGCTCTGCCTGGACCCACTTCTAGGTTTCCTGGCTCAGTATTCAGGACTTAGTTTGAGTTTCCCTTACTCTCACTCTGCCCTTTCCTAAGCACCAAAGCAGTGGATGAAGCCACTTCTGCCTTTAAGGAATCCAGTAGTTCCCATCTTTATCCTGTATTAGCAACCTAGTTGCTAAAAGCACCTAACGTTAGTTACAAGGTAGACTTGAGTCATAGTAAAGATGATATTAATAGTGTTTGTGGCAGCAGTAGAGGTATAATTTACTAAGCTTTTCTAGCACACCAGGCCCTGTACTAAATGCTTCATGTTAGGTGTCTCTGTCACTTCTGAGAAGCAAGCGGTGCTATCTCTAACTTAGATCCGTGATCTCAGGACTCTGTTTTCTAAAAATTACTGAGGACCTCATAGAGCTTTTTTGTGGGTAATGTCTGCCCATGTTTACTGGAAATTAAAATGGAGATTAAAAAAAAATAAGATGGAGATTAATATAATCTGGGTTTTTAAAGATAACTTTTAAAACAAAATATTAGTGGGAAGAATGCCACTTTCTACATTTCTGCACATCTTTTTTTTTTTTTCTAAGATTTTATTTATTTATAAATAACCTTTATACCCAACTTGGGGCTCGAACCCACAACTCTGAGATCAAGAGTCACATACTCCACCAACTGAGCCTGCCTGGTGCCCCTCAGAAATATGTTTAAATTTGGCAAAGCTTCAAGCTTATTGAAGCTTATTGTGGTGATACAACTTTTCTGACGTTCAGATTTTTCTAAAAGCTGAAGTTTTTTTATTGGCAGTATTGTCTTTTATTTTCCTTGAAGTGACAAGCTTATTTCATTCATTTCCGAGAAGATGTCTGCCAAAACCCAAGTCTGAATAACCATAGTTTGTCTGTCAGCCAGTTTTTCAAACAAAGCTAGTGCTCCATGATAAAAAGCAGCTCACAACTCGGTTCCACAGTGCTTTCCCTCAAGACAACCATCCTCCTTCAGCCTGCAGTAGAAGTGTCCGTCTCCAAGTACTCACATGCATACACCAGGACTGAGGTTTGACAAGTTAAGTTTTTCTGCTTCATCAAGAGACACTATTATGTGAAACCAGGCATTTTTCTCTTTTCCCTCAATTATAAGCTCCCGGTGGTGAAAAAATACAGCACAAAGAAAGAGGCTAATAACGTTTTAACATTACTCAGAATTCGTCGTCGTCTCCTGTCTCCTCGGGGCAGGGCCTGTCCCTTGACCTTTAGCAGGACGGTTAAAGCAATGTGAGAAGGATTCTTGATCTTGGCACTATGTTTATTAAATTTACTCTATGTTTGCTCTGTCACCTCAGAGCAACAGGGGCAGAGAGGTGGGACTGACTTGGACTCAGCAGGCAGGTCTCTAACTAGGGTATCTTTCAGCCCAGGGAGAGCCTGCCTGGCCTGTATGCCTGAGCAGGAATTTGTCCCAGTTCATTCTTCCCTAAGTAGGTGGTGGTAACCCCTGCACGCAGAGGGATCTTCCTTTCACTCTTCTCCCTTACTGTTCCCTCAGAGTCAGGACTGTCTCCAGTTGGGTCCTCCTGCTGAAGGAGAAGTGGTCCAAGTGAGATGGACAGATGGCCAAGTCTACGGAGCCAAATTTGTGGCCTCCCACCCCATCCAGATGTACCAGGTAGCCAGCCAAAGGTTTTTGTCGGGGGCTGGGGAGCACTTGATTAATTCAAATGTTTCCTCTTAGGCTGGAGGGGAATCTTTGCTCTTGGGAGCTCAGCGGTCAGTAATAACCTTTTCAGAGCTTGGGGCTGCTCTATGTCTAGTCTGCCAGAGGTGGCTTCAAATTTGGCAGTCCTTCATTCAGTGTTCTGGATCCTTCCTGTGATGGCAGAAAATTGCCACTGTGCACAGTGGACCAGGGAGAAAGGGATCTCTTAGCCAAAGGTCTTTGTTTATTCGGTAGGTGGAGTTTGAGGATGGCTCACAGCTTGTGGTTAAGAGAGATGACGTGTACACGCTGGATGAAGAGCTTCCCAAGAGAGTCAAGTCTAGACTGGTGAGTGTGTTTTCTGTGTGTTCATGGTTCCGGTCTGGGAGGGAGGGAACAAGGCAAGGGTGTGTCCTTTTGTTCTTTCCCTGGGGTGGTTGGCCACAAAGTGCTCATTGGGCTTGCTTATTCCTCTACAGTCTGTAGCCTCAGACATGCGCTTCAACGAGATTTTCACAGAGAAGGAAGTTAAGCAGGAAAAGAAACGGCAACGAGTGATCAACTCAAGATATCGGGAAGATTACATTGAGCCTGCACTATACCGAGCCATCATGGAGTAGGTGCTTCCAGGGGCCAACCGGTGCCCAGCCATCAAGGCGAGAGCACTGTGGGGTTCCACAGCACAGCAGACCCTTGGAACTCTGAAGGCTCTGAAAGTGAAGTTGTACAATGAAAAGGAATGGAATAACTGACCCCATTGTCTTCTCACACCCCCATCCCCGTCGCATTCCGCTGTAGTGAAAGGACAGCCTTCCTTGGACATGTGGCAGCAGCCACTGATCTCCCAGCTGAAGGGCTGTGCACTGAACTGCTGGGGCTGCCCTGGCCCCGGTTTGCAGCGGGGTTGACTGTGCTGGCTGGGCTGGTTGCCCTGTTCCTGGCCTAGGACTTAGCTTCCTAACAATCACCTGCACCAACTAGGCAGAGGTGCTGGTGCTTCCTTCCTCCCCCCTTTTGTATTTATGTGTGTGTGTGTGTGTGCGTGCGTGCGTGCGCGCGCCTGCCTGTATATGTGTGTGTGTCCGTGTGCGCATGTGTGGATGTTTGGTCTGGACCAGCTTCTGCCAGCCCTTGGCCTTTACTTCCTTCCTTGCCTGTCCAGGGCAAACAGAATGTGAAATTTGGCCCTCAGCTGAGCTGAGCAAAGGCTCCTAGGGGTTGGCTGGAGATAAGTATGGCATCTGTGTCCCTGGAACAGGCTCAAGGGAGTGCTGGCGGAGCTGCAGTGTTGAGATATTAGGGAGTTAATGCCACCTCTTTGTCCTATTTTGATGGAGAAGATAGGAGGTAACATGGGGCTGTGCCCGTATCACTCTAGGCACAGGACCTCTGGCACAGTATTAGGGTGCGGGTGGGGAGCACCTGAAGGGGGATCTTAATGATGGAAGCAGGCAGAGCCTGGTGGGTGATTCTGGCAACAGAAAATTGCAATCATGCAGGGGCTGGGAGGGTTAAGATGAACTGGGGCCACTGGAGACCGGGGGGCAGGTCTAGATATGCCCCTGGTCTGGGGGTGGGAGGGAGCTGATTTGGGGGTGGGGGTGGGACTGGAGGGCAACGCTGAAGGGGTTAAACAGGTTTTTGCTCCTCATGAATTTGTTTGCCTGGGCCCAGGATTGGAGGGCTTCACACCTATACCCTTGTGTATACAAGAATCAGATTTATAATACTTCCCTGTTTTTTGTTACGTATGAACGCTATAAACCAAATTATTTTGAAAACTGGTGCATCACCTTGTCCTTAGCAATAAAATGTGTTGAGCAGAGGATTTGCTGTGTCTGCCCCACGGAGCCTGAATGGCCCAGGGTCAGGCTGGGGGTAGATCTAGTTATAAGCTCTGGGGCAGGGCCAGCTATTTTAAGAACACCACTCGGGCAGGATCTAGGAAGCTGTCAAGTTCCTTGGGTTCCTTGTCAAGTCCTGGTCCTGTGGGCTGTGTGTTAGACCAGGCAGGGGGAGACCTGGGGAGCAGAGGCACTGGTGGCTATGAGCTCCTTGTTTTGCTTCCTTTGTCTTCGGGGTAGGAAGGAGGGGATTGAGGACGGGACCACTCTCACAGTCAAACTGGGTTTGAGCTCTCACTTCATTATCTTCCTATCTTCATGGAGCTGGTCTAAGTCCACGTCATCCATCATCTGTGTTTCGTACAAATTGTGGAGCTAGCATAAAGATGCTTTAAGAGCAAGGGACTCGACACCCCAGAGGGATCCAGTGGGGGCTTGAAGCTACTGTGAGCTGCCTGTAGTTGGTGAGAAACTTCCCTGGAGGAAAATCTGTCTCTTTGCCTGGTGGGTTCCTGGGCTATGGGTGATTGAGGATAGAGCAGCAGCAGGGCAGGGAGGGGCCAGTGACTAGGTACAGGACTTGGGCAGCTGCTCCAGCTGACCCTTGGATGACCGGACACTTGTTTCATGGCCCTGTCCAGGTGCTAGAGAGGCTTGGTCATTTCAGCAACTCAATGCTTCTTTGTATCCCGGGGCTTGGGAGGTGGCTGCTACCTGGTGTCTTGATTGTAGGAGAAAGAAGCGGCAGGTTTCAAAGATACTTTTCTCCTCCCTGGGGCCAAGAAAAGGAAGTTGACTTTTTTTGTCCAGCATCCAAGAGTTCATTTGGGAGATGCGACCAGGCCTTAATGGATTGTTGAGCCCTGGGAGCGCATTTCCTTGATAAGCAGGACTGCTTCTCCAGACTTGGCAGGGTCCCAGGCCCTACCCCTCTGATGGACCCCACCATCCCGATCCTTGCTGAAAGCCCTGCAGGGATGAGGTGCCTGGTCTAACTCCAGCAGAGTTCTTAACAGCCGACTTTTTCTAGAAATACCGCCCTTTGCATTTTGGCCAAAGTAATAACTGGGGAAACCGAAGTTTAAAGAGGCGATGAGACTTGCTTGCATCCCATGGGACAGGCCGTCGGTTTTCGTCCGTCCTCACCGCCTGCCTGCCTGCCCGTGCGGTCAGGCCCAGGCCTTGGAAGACCGACTGCAGGGATGGGTTTTCGTCGGGGGCAAACTGCCGGCTGCTAAGGTGGTACCCCGGGTGGGCAACCGAGGCTCGAAGCCCCGTCCCTACTATTGGCTCAGCTGCGGGAGCGAAGGGTGGGAGGGAGCTGGGACCTCGGGAGCTGCACAGGGCGGGGGTCCTGAGTCCGCGCTAGACGTGTCCGTCCCCCGGTAGCTGGGAACCCCGTGCCCTCCGCCGCCGCAGGGTCGGGCCGGGTCGCCCAGCCCGTGGAGCTCCCCCCAAGCCCTGGGCCCCCGGGGGCCGTCGCCGGCGAGGACACGTGTCCCGAGGGGCTGGGTCGCGGGCGCGGGGCGCCTGCGGGGCGAGAGGCGGGGGAGGGGGTTGCCGCCGGCGGCCGAGCCCACTCGCAGCCCCGCAGCCCCGCAGCCCCGCAACCCCGCGGCCCGGGTCCCGCGCCGATTGGGCCTCCGCGAGCCTGCGCCCGCCCACGGCCCGCAGCGCCGCTCCCCATTGGTCAGCGCGGCGCCCCGCCCGCCCCCCGCGCCCCGATTGGCCGGCGCCGACCGACCCCCGGCGAGGGCGCCGAGGCGGAGAGCGGGATTGGTGGTCGCGCTCCGCCCGCCGCTGCGTCCCCACCATGGCGGCGCCCGTGCAGCCCACCGCGTCGTGGGCGCCCGCCGGGGTCCCCCGCGGCAGTGGCGGCCGCCCGCGCCCCGGCCTCCGCCTCCCCGCCCGCGCCGGCCCGGGCGCCGCCTCCCCGCTGCCTCCGTCTCCGCTGCGGTAAGGCCCGCCGTGCGCGCGGCTAACGGGGGCCGCCCCGCCCGCGCCGGGGACGGGGGGGGGGGCACGGCCCGGCTGCCCCGAGCCCTGGGGCCCGGCCCCGGCGACCTCGGCCCGGAGGGGCGGCTGCGGCCGGGCCCGGGGAGGGCGCCTGCAGCCGGCTGCGGCACCCCGCGCGCTGCGCACCTGGCGCCCAGCAGGGCCGGCCGGGCCTCCGCCGGCGGAGCGGGAGTCGCAGCGCGCGGCCGCCCTGCTCGCCGCTCAGGCAGCCGCGCGCTCGGGTCCGGTCGCTGGGCCCGCACGCTGGCCTCCCGCTCCCCTCCCTCCGGACCCCCCCCAGGCCCCCCACCGTCCCCACCGTCCCCACCGTCCCCATCCCCCGCTGTTGATTCCGGGGTCTTGCTTGCAAGGGGAGGCACCTCCGTGATGAGAGCAGGTTTGGGGAGGATGCTGTCCCACGAGTATTTGGGATTTCTTCTTTACCGCTGCTCATTTTTAGGATGCCTCAGTCCACTTCATTTCTGTTTGCGTTTCCCTCCCGAGGAAAGAGTGAGACGCGTGAACTAAATCCTAGTAGTTAATTGGGAGAGAGAGACAGAGAGGCCAACCAAAGCGGCTGTTATTTGGTAAGACAAAACAAAACAAAACAAAACAAAAACTGGGAACTTTTCTGTGGTCATGGTTTGAGTTGTCTGTACTGTAGCCGGTTGAAGGTAGAACAGAAGCACTTACTAGGTTCCTGAAATTAAACGTGTCCTCGTGGAACATGAGGTTGTTTCGGAGTCACAGTCACCTTGGAACGATGATCGTGGAGCCGTCTGGTTTACCTGCAAGTCACAAGGATTGAAAGGAAGCTGGCACACCAACACGTATGACCAAATGGGTGTTTTCAGATCATCTCTTAAGGCATCTCATCCTGAGATGAAAGATTCTTTACCCAAGGACATCTTGAAGTATGAAATGATGAGTCTCGCGGTTTTGCGTGTCTGAATGTGTAGTGGTGGTTTAATAAAAGTAGATTATTAAAGAGGGAATAAGACAGGCATGTTCTTAGAGCGACTGGCTTAGGATCATCAATAAAGTGCCTAATGAATACATACTGTGTGCAAGGCAGTGAAGAGTGTGGGCAACGGAAGACCCGTAACCTAAGAGTCTTGTTCTGATGAGCCCAGGAGATAGCTGTGGGACTAAAGGGCACACAGGAAGCTGATAACCGACGATCTTGCCTCTAGGATTCCTCGACAGTAGGCATGAGGATCTGGGGAAAGGAGAAACCCAGGTGTTAGAGGAAGGGTTCACAGGGAAGCTGAGGCTTGCCTTGAGCAGTGACTCGGTAAGCCTAGGGGATGAAGAAGGGAGGAAATGAGAAAGTGAGGATGGCCAGTGGGGCAGGGAACAACCCGAAATGCTCATGAGTGATTCCTCTGGGTTCTTGTTAGAGAAACTAAGAGGTTAAAAAAAAGGTGGGTGGGTTGCATCAAAGGGAGAAGTACTTTGTCTCGGGCAGGTGGTAGCATTTACTTCAGCTAGCCATTAGAAAAATATACAGTAGCACTTTATTTGTTCTTGTCGTTTTTCTGATTAATCTCAGCTGCATGGACTGACCATCCTTGGCGGCTGCCCAGGGATCAGCACCTCTTGCCTTCCTTCTCGCCCTTTGCGTTCACTTGGCTGCAGGGCCTTGCTGATGGACTCCTGCATTTGCTTCTTTCCATTTCTACTGTCTTCAGGCTTATATGGGATCATCGATACCATTCTGTTGAATTATTGTGGGAACTCCCCCCCCCCAATTTTTTTTTCCTTTCCTCCCATCTATTCTGTGTACCTCTATCATTTCCAGATGTCTCCCTTCCCCAGTCAAGACTTTTAACAGTTCCCCACTGTCTGTTGAATTAAGCTCAGACCAGCCTGGCACAGACACTATGGGTAAGCTCATTGCTTTCCATCCCCTTAGGTTTTATGATTTTTTTTTCAGGTCAGTAGAACTATTTGCTTTTTGTGCTTTGCTGTTTGTGTTCCATACCTTTGCTTATGTTGCTTTTTCTATCTTAAATGACCCCCTTGAATCTTTAATTGTTGGTTCTTACCCATGTTTCAGGGCCATGTGATATGGAACTTCCTTCGTGAGAAGTTCCTGTACTTTTCTTCCTGTCTAGATGGGACTTGTCTTTCCTTTAGACTGTTATAGCACTAGAGTCTGCCTTTTTGGCACAGTTGTCAACATAAGACTGAGATTTTTTTGAGACATAGACTCGGGTCTTCTTCATCATCTTGCATAGTGTTTTGTACATAGTAGGTTCTTGACAGGTTTGTTTTATACTGAACATAGCTTTGAACCAAGATGGATGCAAAAAAAAAATTCTTTGTGTAAACAAAATGTTGATCATAAAATCTGTAAAGCAAGTTACTTATGTGAGAGAATTCCTTACTAAGAGATCTGATGAGGGGTGCCTGGCTGGCTGAGTCAGTGGAGCATGTGACTCTTGATATCTGGGTTGTGAGTTTGAGCCCTATATTGGATGTAGAAATTACTTAAAAATAAAATCTTAGAGAGAGAGAGAGAGAGAGAGATCTGATGATCTGATGTATTGATCCAGATAGCTTGGATTAGGTTGCATTAACAAAAACCCATTAAGACTTAAGTGGGTCAACAGAACAAAATGATTTCTCATTCATGCCACATGGCCAGCGTGTGTGTGCGGGGAACTGTGTGCCTCACAGTCAGTCACTCAGGGACCCAGGCTTTTGGAAACTCTATCTGAATATAGTGTTTGCACGATCATTTTGATTGTGTGAAAGATGGTGGTCAGGGGGTATGCTTCCCAAATGGCACATGTCACTTGCGTTCACATTTCATCAGCTAAGGCAAATCACATGGCTATGCCTGACTTTAAAGAAGACCAGGGAATTGCACCTTAACGTGTGCCTAGAAAGCAAAGAGCCAGACCTAATTGGTGCGCAGCAGGAAGGACTACTACATCTTTTATGAGTATCATAGTCCGTAAATGATTGGAGGTAGCAAAATCAAAAGGCCTGCTAGAGATGAGCATGTTGACAGCAGCAAGAACTAGGAGCTCTAACTAGGCATGGGATGAGGGTGGATTGGCACTGTACATGCCCACAGGCCAGGGCTGCTGGTACAGGGGTTGTCTGGTGCACCCTAGTCCCAGCATAGTGACGCCTAAGGGCATCACTGTTTCACAGTACCCTCAATAATGAACATGGGAATGGTCCTGAAGCATCCAAAAAAAGCTCAATCATATTCAAGTTATTTAGCCAGGAAGAATGAAATAACTCAAGGTACATTTTCACTTGTATAATTAGGAAGGAATCAGTCTAACATTGGTTTAATTGGGTTTCCTTGAGGCCATCGAACTTTGGTATTCAGGGAAGCGATTTCACTTTTTATTTTTTTTAGATTTTATTTATATATTTGATAGAGGGAGCAAGCAGGAGGAAGGGCAGAGAATCTCAAGCAGACTCTGCAGTAAGTGTGGAGCCCGACGTGGGGCTCTATCTTATTTTTTAATTTTTAAAAATTTTTAAAAGATTTTATTTATTCATGAGAGACCACAGAGAGAGAGAGAGAGAGAGAGAGGCAGAGACACACACAGGCAGAGGAAGAAGCAGGCTCCATGCAGGGACTCGATCCCAGGTCTCCAGGATCAGACCCTGGGCTGAAGGCGGCGCTAAACTGCTGAGCCATCCAGGTTGCCCCGGGGCTCCATCTTCTGATCCCAAGATCATGATCTGAGCTGAAACCAAGAGTTGGATGCCTAACCGACTGAGCCACCCAGGAGCCCTGAGATTTCACTTTGGATAAGGAATAGAAGCCTAGACTGCTGGTTGGAGCGATGGTTCAGGAGACAAGATCTGGGTTGAAATCTTGTCTCTGCCACTAATTGTCTGCCTTTGAGCAAGTGTCTTATTTTTGAGTTCAAGGTTATCAGTAAAATGCATAGGGTGTTTTCAACACATAGGGTGAATCAGAAGAGTTTGTTTACTGGTAAAGTGCTTTGCATAGTACCTGGTTCAGAGTAAGCACTCATGTTCATGAACGTGACCAGCAGCAGCAGCAGGATTTGAAAAAATGTTGAGAAACCCCAGGAATGTAAGTAGATGGGTTCCCTCAGATTTCCCTACTTTTTTTCCTTCCCAACTTTCTAATTTTCACATTTGTCATGTTTTATTTTACTTAGTCATGTGCATGTCTATATGTCCCCCATCACATGAGCCACTCCAGTCATCCCATGAATATTTACCGAACAGGTGCTGTGTGCAAGACACTGTGCTGGGTCATGGCATTGTAAATAAGAATGAGGTGTCCCTGGCCTTAATAAAGGAGCCTATAGTCTGGTAGGACCAGAAGCCAGTAAGCCAGCAGTTAAAATACATGGTAACAAGGGCTGTGTTTGAGGGTCCCATGGGATCTCCTAAAAGGGGACCTGGTGTGGCTCTGGGAATATAAATAATGGTTATCCAGAGAAGTTCACACCTAACCTAAGTCTGGAAGAGTCACTAATTATAAGCTGGTTGCATGTGGGTTTGAAAGGCTTTCTGACAGGAAGCGATGGGTGTAATGGCCTAGAAACACAAGAGAGTGTGGCTGTGTCCTGAGGACACTTGAGTGGCAGGAGAGAAAAGGGAGCGTGTGAAGGCTGCAGAAGGCAGCTTGCAAAGGCTTGTGAGCTCAGGAGTCAGAGCTTTATCCCGCAGATCATTAGGAGCCACTGAAGGATTTGAAGGTAGGAAATCAACTTTGTTTTTTTTTTTTTTTTGGAAGATCACTGTGTGTAGAGGAAGCGGAGGAGTAAATACCCCATTTCCTTGCCATGGGAGGTTCTGAGGTTTGCAGCCATAGTTCTGTGCCTGCTACACAAGAGTCATAGAATGTTTATCTGTGGGGAGAGAGGAGCGTGGGGTGAGTTGGTGGGGAGGCACCAGTTAGACTAGGGCAGTGATGTGAGGGGCAGAGGCCAGGTCCTTCCTGGGGGTGGATTTGAGCATCATATACAGGAGTTAGCAGACCAGGATTTCCTTCATGGTTTCCCTAGTGTCTGCAGTATGACCTTGGGCAAGCCTCAGAACCCTTTGTATCTTCTTGGTTTCCAAATTTGTAAAATGGGGTGAAAAAGTCCCTACCTTGCCAGGTTGCTGCCTCTGGGGATTCAAGCAAATAAAAAGCCTGGTGCTATTAGATAACATAAAGGACCTCTTAAAGTAAAAATAATAGTTTTAAGACTTCTGACGTTTACCTAGTTCATGGTGGGTGATGGAGAGCCTTACATCCCCTGGTCTAGAGAGATAGCCACTGTCAACATTGTGGTTTTATTTCTATATCTTAAGTGATTGGCAAATTCTGGTCTGGGAGTGATAGGCATGGGGAATTCTTCTGAAATCCAGAAGGAAAGAACTGATACGGATATCATACCAGCATAAACATTCTTTCAATGCCAACAAATGGTATATGGCTCTTCAGCTGTTTCCAGCCCTCACCCAGAAAGCTGTGTGTGCAGAGTGCACACACTCTTGGCCCTGTAACGTGAGCACTGCGCGTGCAGCCAAAGAGTGTGTGTTTCTTTGGTCTTTCGTCGTTGACTGCTTCCCTCTGAAGTTTTGCTCCTCTCTTCTTTTGAGCATGTTTTTAAAGATGATAATGGGGCTCTAATCATATTTGCTTTCTATTAGGTTCCTCCCTGGTCATCCTGGCTGATGATGGGAGTTCCTCCTCTCTGAGTTCCTGTACAATGTAATTTATGTTACTCTGATTAAATGTCATCTACTATCTTCTTGTCTTATCATTATTTGACTACTTGTCAGTGCATTTTCCCTTTTCCTTGATGTCAGTTTTTCTTACAAAATAATGGAAAGATGGCATGTTTGTGTATTTTTGACATGACTTAAAAATCCGCCAAGACCTTTTGTTTGAAATATGTTGAACAGGGGCACCTGGGCAGCTCAGCGGTTGAGCATATCTGCCTTTGGCTCAGGTCATGATCCCGGGGTCCTGGGATCAAGTCCTGCATCAGGCTTCCTGCAGGGGAGCTTGCTTCTCTCTCTGCCTGTGTCTCTGCTTCTGTGTCTCCCATGAATAAATAAATAAAATCTAAAAAGGAAGAGAAATATGTTGAACAGGTTAAAAAATTCTATGACTGGAGCACCTAGCTGGCTCAGTCAGTGGAGTGTGTGTCTTAATCTTTGGGTCATGAGTTCGAGCCCCATGTTGGGTGTAGAGATTACTTTAATTAATTCATTAGTTAATTAATTAAAGGAAAGAACTTAGCAATATAATTTTTTTTCTAAAGATTTTATTTTTTAAGTAATCTCTACACCCAGTATGGGGCTCGAATTCACGACCTGAGAACAAGAGTTATATGTTCTTCGGACTAAGCCAGCCAGGTGCCCTCCACTGAGGTTTTTTTTTTTTTTTTTAATTGAAGCATAATTGATACTTTATTACTAAGTTTCTAAAGTATATAAAAAATAAATTACATAGCAGTGATTCTTAGAGCTTTTAGCCTCAAGACCCCTTTAAAAGTTTAAAAATTATTGAAACCCCAAAGAACTTCCATTTTTATGGGCTTTGTCTATTGAGATTTAAGATATTAAAACTTACTGAGGGATCCCCGGGTGGCGCAGCGGTTTGGCGCCTGCCTTTGGCCCAGGGCGCGATTCTGGAGACCCCGGATCGAATCCCACGTCGGGCTCCCGATGCATGGAGCCTGCTTCTCCCTCTGCCTGTGTCTCTGCCTCTCTCTCTCTCTCTGTGTGTGTGTGACTATCATTAAAAAAAAAAAATTACTGAGAAAATTTTGCTTTATTTTATTTATTAAAATTTTTTAAAAAAGATTTTATTTCTTCATGAGAGACACAGAGAGAGAGAGAGGCAGAGACACAGGCAGAGGGAGAAGCAGGCTCCATGCGGGCGGCCCGATGCAGGACTAGATCCCAGGACTCCAATGCTCAACAACTGAGCCACCCAGGTGTCCCTATTTTTAAAGTTTGACAGAGATTGAGAGAGAGAGAGAGAGAGAGAATGCGCATAAGCAGGGGGAGTGGCAGGCAGAGGGTGAGGGAGAAGCAGGCTCCCTGCTTGGATCCCATGACCCTGAGATCATGACCAGAGACTGAAGGCAGACACTTATCTGACTGAGCCACCCAGGTGCCCCACCGAGAACATTTAAATCACAGGAATACAACCATACATTCCATTAGGTGTGAGGACAGTGATGTTGTGATATGTTGTGATATGTAACCTCTGGAAAATCTGCTGGACCCCTGTGAGAAAGTGAGAGTAAGCAAGGCAAATGATGTCTGAGAATTATTTTGAAAATAGTTTTAAATTTGTGGATCTGCTGAAAGGGCCTTGGAGACCCTCATAGGTCCCTGGATCAGTTTGAGAACTGCTGACATAGATATGAGAGTTTTTATACATGACACTTTTATATCTTTTTGACAACAAAATGAAATAAGGTGGGAACACTACCAAACATCAGGTTGTTTTTTTAATTTTTAAAAAGATTTTATTTATCTATACATGAGACAGAGAGAGGCAGAGACACAGGTAAAGGAAGAAGCAAGCTCCATGCAGGGAGTGTGATGTGGGACTTGATCCCGGGGCTCTGGGATCACACCCTGGGCCGAAGGCAGGCGCTCAACCCCTGAGCCACCCAGGCGTCCCTAAACATCAGTTTCTGGTTTTGATTTTGTTGTTGTTTTTAGAGGGAGGAGGTGAGAGGCAGAGAGAGAGCGAGCGAGCATCTTTTTTTTTTTTTTAATTTTATTATTTTTTTAAAAGATTATTTATTTATTTATTTGAGAGAGAGAGAGAGAGGCAGGCAGGCAGAGGGAAAAGCAGGCTGCATGCAAGGAGCCCGATATGGGACTCAATCCCGGATCCCAGGATCACGCTCTGAGCCAAAGGCAGACATCCAACTGCTGAGCCATCGAGGCATCCCAAAGATTTTACTCTTATTTTTATTTTTTTTAAGTTTATTTACTTTTGGTAATCTCTACACCCAGCGTGTAGAGACTCAAACTCACTACCCCAAGATCAAGAGTCTCACGCTCTCCCCCCTGAGCTAGCCAGGTGCCCCCATATTTTCTAATGATGTATTTTACACTTAGAACACCAGAACTGTATAATGATGTCTGTTTCTAAGTCTTAATATGCCATATCGCTTCAGGGGTTTTATTTTGTTTCATTTTGCTTAAAAGAAATAGAATGTTACATTTCCAGTAAATGCCTCCTATGTATTTTTTCCCTAGTCTCTTTCCTTGTTCACCAGAGAAAGCAGCATCTTGAATTTAAAGTTTTTAAATTCCCATATGTGTTTTTATGCTTTTGCTACATGTTACATGCCCACACACAAGGCACCCAACAGGGGCTGGCAAATGAGCTTGTAGGTTTTACTGGGACACTGCCATCCATGCCCATGTATGAGTATCGTTACTGACTGCTCTCAGGCTACAGTTTTCTGTTTCTAGTTTTCTGGGTATATGGCCATCTCCCAGCCCCCTTCAACACCAGCCCCCACCCTTTGATCTCAGTTGGCTCAGGCAATGGAGGGTCACCTTTTCAAACATTCCAGTTTAATTTTCTTTTTTTTTTCTTTTTTTAAAAAATATTTTATTTATTTATTCATAGAGACAGAGAGAGAGAGAGGCAGAGACACAGGCAGAGGGAGAAGCAGGCACCATACCGAGAGCCCGATGTGGGACTTGATCCGGGAGATCACGCCCTGGGCTGCAGGCAGCGCTAAACCGCTGCGCCACTGGGGCTGCCCCCAGTTGAATTTTCTCAAGACTGATTGCATTCAGCATTTTTACTCTTACACAGAGAATTTACCTTTTCTAAATAAAACATTATGTCTATAACCTTGTCCCCCAAACACCATTAAAACACCATTAAGCAAAACCCCTTAAAACCAAACCTTAACAGGGACCCTTGGGTGGCTCAGGGGTTGAGCATCTGCCTTCATTCAGCTCAGGGTGTGATCCTGGGATCCTGGGATGGAGTCTCACATCGGGCTCCCTGCATGGAGCCTGCTTCTCCCTTTGTGTGTCTCTGCCCCTCTCTATGTGTCTTTCATGAATAAATAAAAATCTTTAAACAAACAAAAAACCCAAAAAGCAAACCATAACAGCTCCTATTCAGAAAGTGTTGTTTTACTTATTTGTTTTTTAGATAAAAGCAAAGATGAGCTGAAAGTTTTGTTCCCTTGGACCCTCCCCCTCCCCCCGCCCCAGCTTTTCCTCAGCTACTTCTGAAGGGAGCATCTGACCAGGGACAAAACATTTTTCAGCTTTCCTCTTCAGTCTTCTATTTTTATAACTTTGGTGGATATCCGATTTCTACTTAGAAAGTCACTGACCACCTGTGTTACAGGAATCAGGGTCTCATCAGGAGAGAGAAACCACACAGTACTCTGAGCAGGTAAACTTTAATGTAAGAATTATTAACTAGGGACGCCTGGGTGGCTCAGTGGTTGAGTGTCTGCCTTTGACTCTGGGTGTGATCCCGGAGTCCTGGGATCGAGTCCCACATCGAGCTCCCTGGACGGAGCCTACTTCTCCCTCTGCCTGTGTCTCTGCCTCTCTCTCTCTGTGTCCCTCATGAATAAATAAATAAAATCTTAAAAAAAATTATTAACTATAATGGGGATTTGGAGCAACATGAGATCTGCTAGTAAGAAGTAAATAAGCACATTGAAGGATGCTTAACATTATTAGCCATCAGGGGAATGCAAAGCAAAACCAGAATGAGACACTTGCCCTCACCCCAGGTTTCTCTGATTATCTATTTTTGCATATATATATATATTTATTGATCTATTTGCTTGGTTCACACCCACTAGGACGGCTGTAATAAAGAAGATAATAACTAGTGTTGGCACAGATGTGGAGAAATCAGAACTCTCATCTCATATGTTGCTGATGGAAATGTAAAATGGTACAGCTGGCATTTCCTCCAACAGTTAAACATAGTCACCATATGACCCAGGTATATATCCTAGGTGTATACCCAAGCCCTTCCCTAGGGGTGTGTGTGTGTGTGTGTGTGTGTGTGTGTGTGTGTAAGAGAAATTAAAATATATGTCCTTATAAGAACTTGTACATGAGTGTTCCTGGCAGCATCATTCGCCAAAAAGTGGAAACAACTCAAACGTCCATCAACTGATGAATGAATAAATAAAATGTGGCATATTCATGTGATGGAATGTTATTTGGCACTAAAAAGAAATGAAATACTGATCCCTGTTACATATGTGAACATATGTGAACCTTGGAAACATCAGGCTGAGTGAAAGGAACCTGTCACAAAAGACCACATATTTTATGATTCCATGTGTATGAAGTGTCTGTAGACATTTGCCTATTTTGTAGAACAGAAAGTAGATTAGTAGTTGCTTAGAGCTAAGAGGATGGGAGGTTGGGCAGGGGGGTGACAGCTCAGGGGTGCGAGATATCATTTTGGGGTAATGGAAATGCTCTAAAATTGTGGTAATGTTTGCACGACTGTGTGAAAATACTAAAAGCCATTGAAATGTGAAATGGTTGAATTGTACGGTACGTGAATGCTACTTCAATAAAGCTTTTCAAAGAAATAAAGAGAACTCTAAAGAATATAGATGTAGCACCTTGTAAGGAGTAACCACCACCCCAGGGCTGAGAGAGAGGGCTCATTGAAGAGCTCCCCGGTCCACCGCACACCTGGTGCAAGCCAAGATACAGACTTTGGGGTGTAGTGAACAGGACCATGGCCTGCTGGGTTGCAGACGAGTTCCGGTGATGCTGCATGCTGGAATTGGCTGGAAATCAGCCTTCTGTGGTGTTGGGAGGAAGCTGTTTGCATAGAGAAGTCTCACCAGAGGTGCTCTGCTACAAAACCGCCCAAGAAGGGTGCTTGGGGCAGCTGTTGGCTGCTGCTCATTGCACATGGTTGGGCACTGGGAAAGCCAGATGTGCTAGAGGAACCTACCCAGAGGAACACACTGGAACCCAGAAACAAAACCCTTTTTTTCCTCCCGCACCTTTTACTGACAGAACTCAATATCCTGCCTCCTGGCAAGAAAAGTACTTAGCGGGAGTAGATCCATCTTGACAGAGCAAGCAAACACGGTGAATGTGGAGCTGAGGGGCAGTAAGTCAGTAACCCACACAGGAGTCATCAGGACCTCAGCATCCCCCCAGCTTTTTCATTCCCTTTGGGGGTCTCAAGGTTATCCTTGCCCCTAGGCCATTGTGATTCAGAGAAGCCAGAATACTGTATCTTTGGGACAACTCGCCCTCAGCCCAGCTCTCTCTAGTCCATTTTTACATATGTTTTGCTGTTCTGTTTGCTTGGTTCTCTTTTTTTCAGATAGCAACTATGAGTACAGTGGATCTCCTCTAACTCCTGCTGCTGCATGTTTTTGTTTTGTTGTTTGGATTTGTTTTAGTAATCCTACGTTTTTTATTCTTTTTCTTTTTAAAAAGGATTTTATTTATTTACTTGATAGAGAGGGAGAGAGAGTGCAAGCATGAGAGGGGGAGGGACTGGGCTCTAGAGTGAGGATCATGACCTGAGCCCAGGCTTAACTGGCTGAGCCACCCAGGCGCTCCTGTTTTTCATTTTATCTTGCTTTTTATCCACCAGTGTTTCCTTCCTTCTTTCCTCCCTCCCTCCAAGATTTTACTTTTTTTTTTTTTAATTTTATTTATTTATTCATCAGGGACACACAGAGAAAGAGGGGCAGAGACACAGGCAGAGGGAGGAGCAGGCTCCATGCAGGGAGCCCGATGTGGGACTCCATCCCAGGTCTCCAGGATCACACCCTGGGCTGAAGGCGGCGCTAAACCGCTGAGCCACCCGGGCTGCCCAGATTTTACTTTTTTTAAGTAAACTCCACACCCAACATGGGGCTCAAACTCACCATCCGGAGATGAAGAGCCACACCCTCTGCCCACTTAGTCAGCCAGGCACCCCCACTGTTGCTTTCATGACTCTTAACTGTCTTTTCAGCAGTGACCACTTTGTTCTCTTCCACTGAGACTTTCATTTTCGTGATAGTATTTTTTTTTCTTTGTTCACTCTGCCCGAATGCTAATTTTATTTTATTTAGAAAAATGGTGTTTCTTAGTATTTTTTCCCTGAGCTCTCCCTTTAATGCCTGCTCTTAATTAGCTCTTGTGAGCCATTTGGGAGTGGGTGGGGGCTTGGGTAATCTTTGTTAAGGATCTTTAATCTGTTCTGTGACAGCATTTTTTTCTGTCCTGGGATCTTCATCTACCATGTTTTGCCTCAACCCTCCCTACTTCTTTCTTCCACTGGGTTGCAGCATTTTTGTTTAGACCCCATACTGATTTTTTTGTTTTGTTTTGATATACTTTATAGCACCTCTTCAGATGAAAAAGTATTGTAACTTGAAGCCAGATCATTGGGATTTAGATCCTGGCTTTGCCACTTACTAGCTCGGTGATGATCTTTTTTTATTTAAGATTTTATTTATTTATTTGACAAAGAGAGGGAGCACAAGCAGGGGGAGTGGCAGGCCGAGGGAGAAGCAGGCTCTCTGCTGTGCGGAGAGACGGATGTGGGGCTTGATCCCAGAACCCTGGGATCATGACCTGAGAAGGCAGATTTTTAACCAGCTGAGCCACCCAGGCACTCCACTAGCTCTGTGATCTTAAACAAGATAATTTAACCTCTCTGTGCCTCAGTTTTTTCTGTATGTAATGGGAATGATAACCTTAGGATTGGCGAGAAGATTCAGTGAATTAAATTGTTCAAAACTTAGACCTGTGATTGGTCCACAGTAAGTGCTATATGAATATTAACAATATAAACTTACCTGCACATTGACTTGCAATTAGAAAATGCACAGTTCTTCTGCATAGAATAATTTAACATATTGCGTATTAACTACTTAAATCCTCCTAGTCATGCATAATGTCTGAATAGGAGGTGTACATTCAGCAAAAATGTTTGTTAAAAAAATTGATGAGGGGCAGCCCGGGTGGCTCAGCAGTTTGGCGCTGCCTTGGGCCCAGGGCGTGATCCTGGAGACCCAGGATCGAGTCCCACGTCGGGCTCCCGGCCTGGAGCCTGCTTCTCCCTCTGATTGTGTCTCTGCCTCCCTCTCTGTTTGTCTCTCATGAATAAATAAATAAAATCTTTAAAAAAAAAATTGATGAGCTTTTCAGTGACTTTTTTTGGGAAGCTGGATGATAAATAATACTGCATATAATAACTTCTAATTAGCTTGCCTCAAAAATATTCACAGGGGACATGCTCAGGAAATGCTTAGCGGTTTTTGCTCTGCATACTTTCGTCATACTTGGGTTTATATCCAGTATGGCTGATATTTGAAGGTCAGCAAAATTCTGACATTTTAGACTAAAAAATGTTGCCAGGTAGAGTTGAGAAAATAACCGTATTGTAGGCTGTTTTAGAAATGACAGGAGTTTGGTGCAGTTTGTTTCAGTGAGCTCAGATTTTTATATGATTTTCTTTTGATGGCTCAATTAAAATAACCTAGCATTATATACCCTTTGTACCTTTCTTTGTTTCTTTTGTGAGCATATTATCATTGACTGAATGAATCTTCAGTCAGTGAGCAGATAGTTCTTGAATACCTACCAGGGATACAGTGGTGACTAAATAGGCGCACTCCCTGCCTGGATTAGCTGCAGTATAAATGTTAAAACAAATTACTGTAAATACTCGGAAGATTACAAGTGCCCTGGGTACTGGGATGAGGATAAACAGCTGCTGTGGGAATTTATAACAGGGAGACCTAACTAAAGTGTGGAGCCGGGTAAGGCTTTTCTGTGGAATTAACCTTTAAGCTGAGAATTAAAGGCTGAGTGGGACCTGGTGAGCTGAAGTGGGAGGGTCCAGACAGTGTCATCCTGACCTGGGAAGGGAGCATGGGGCCTGGAACACTCTGAGAGGTGGTTGGTGTTGCAGACCCACCGGGGCGAGGTGTCAGGGATGGCAAGAGGTGTGGGGAGAGGACGGCAGGGGCCAGAGCACCTGAGCCTTACAGGCCCTGTGAAGGGAATGGGGCCTTACGCTAAGGACGGTGGGACATTTGCACAGTTAAAGCCTGGGAGTGAGATAAATTCACATCAGCTGCTGTGTGGAGAATGAGTTGGAGAGGATCGGGAGTGGGTATGGGAGGCTAACCTGGGGCTGTAGTAGGAGCCCAAGCCAAAGATGATAGTGACTTGAAATGGGATGGAGGGAGGGAGGATGGATTCAGGAAGGGTTTTAGAGGTGAAGTTCATAGGACTCGGTGATTGACTTTATGTGGAGGTGAGAGTGAGGAGGAGGGTAGTGTCAAGGATAACTTCCAGGTCTCTGACAGAAGCACCTGGGAGGCTGTTGCTTCTTACTTGAGATGGGGACCAGTGGAGACAGAGGAAATTTGGGGCATCTGTGAAACATCTAGATGATGCTGTCGAGTGGGAAGTTAAATACACGGACGTGAAATTCAGAAGTAGTTATCTAGATGGAAGAGATCAAGTTTGGGATGGTCAGCATAATGATGGCAAATTAAATCACAGAAGCAGAACGAAATTGCCTTGGGGATGTCTGCAGAATGGAAATGTTAAGCTGCACGCATTACCGCAAGCTTCTCTCCTGATTCAAAAATTGCTGTGCATGTGTACATGCACACAAATCATACCTTCAGGATGTTTTATGTTTTGGAATGTGTACAACTTACTATACCGTGTCTGGAGTTGGGGCATATCATTAGAAATACAGTAGTTTATTCTTTAAACAGTGGTGCTGTGCTGTTAAAGGCAGGTGATTCACAGGCCTAAGTTACAGATTTCTGCTTTCAAATTGTGTACTTATTCTTGGCCGAGGCAGAAAAACAGGCAGGATGTTTTATAAATGCTATGACACAGGTAAGCATTGGAGGTTATGGAAGCAGACACAGAGTATAGGGCTATGATGAAGGAAAGCTTCCTGAAGGAGGTAAGACTTGAACGGAGCCCTAAAGATGAGCTGGC